TTTTTTATTTTAATCAACTAAATATAATTCTAGAATGTTACAGTGTACAAAGTACTAATATATATATAAGTGAAATTTGCACTAAATAGGACTAAAACATAATGACTTTCCTAATGTAGGACTTAAACTTTTTTATTCCCTAGATAAGACTTAATAATGACCTAATTGAAGGAATAATGTCCAGTAATGATGGACATTTAGTTGAATAATGACTACTTGATAATGACCAAAGGTCCTAAATTGGGAAATAAAAACATATGGTCTTATATTGGTAAAGTCATTATGTTTTAGTCCTACTTAGGTAAATTTCTCTATATATAATAACACATTAACTAACAAAAGTAGTGATCGGTCAACTATCAATATTTTACTTGATTATCATAACCGTAATGATGGACATCTGGTCTAATTTTCAAAATTGTTTAGGAGTTACACAATAAACCATTGCTAATACAAATATAAAGACATTGACTCTTGTAAAGAATAATATTTTCAATTAGTGTTTGTGTTTGGATACAAATTTTAATTAATGATAATATATGAGAATGATGGCAATGGGAGGGAGTTGGCTCTTTGTCTTGGATTGCAACCCAAGTTGGGCCGGATTCAGTTAAAAAGGCCGGCTTTTGGAATAGCTGGCGGAGGTTAGCCGCAGCCTTCCCTCCTCTCAGACCGCCGCCGCCGCCTCATCCTCCCCGGAAGCCCTGTTCCTACGCCAGAAAGAAAAACCTGCTCATACACAGAGACCAAACACTACTCGCATGGAGGAAAAGAAGCTGAAGAGGAAGGGGGACGGGCTGAAGAAGGATCCCCCTCACAAGAGGCCCTCTAAAGACGATCTTATCAGCCGCAGTACAGTCTCGATCTTATCCCCCTCACAAGGATCCCCCACATGAAACACAAGATTTGCATCGGTTTTGATCTCATGAGCGTCAACTTAAAGCGCCTTCACGTTCTGCCTCAGATACTGCCTTACCTTACACTTTTGTTCAACAATGAGAGGGATGTGGTGATGATGAATCACAAGATATTCTATAAAAAAATTTGCTACTGATTATTGATTAACACTATGTTTGGTTCAAGGATTTTGGAAGAAAAACAAAAAAAAATAGTTTTCTCTCATTTTCCTCACCAAAATGGAAGGAATTTGGTTTTTCCTCCACTTGGTACATTTTGCCTCTTCATTTTCTTTTCCTTCCACTTTTCCTTTCTTTTCCCCTCTAACCAAACAAGAGAAATGGTTTTTCACTTCATTTTCTTTTCTTTTCCTTTTCAAATTCCTTGAACCAAACATAGTGTAAATGTTTTAGTTCAACTTTTCTCTGTGTTACACCCTGTTTGGGAATAACGTTAGAGAATAACGTTAGCGTTTTGAAAAAAGACTATCTACGGGCAGCGCTTAGCGTTAGAATTTTCAAAGTAATCTGCACCATTAAAATTTTATCCAAAACGCTAACGCTAATCTTTAACGTTATTCCCAAACAAGTCCTTTTTCATCACCTCTTTGGATCACTTTCTTGACTAGTAGATGAGTAAATGATTGTATAGATGACATGGGCAAAAGCACATATGTTTTCTTGTAAACAAAAAACCCCCCACAAAACCTTATAAGTTTTCCAAGTATGTAGGGTAAATTGGAAACTGGTTGAAATTGTTTTGAAAAAAAAAAGAAAAAATATGAATCACAAATTGCTGCTTCTTCATTACAAGTTTTAGTTTAACCTTTCCATAATGTTTTTTCATGTATGCTCAATGGAATAACGTTAGAGAATAGCGTTAGCGTTTTGAAAAAAGACTATCTACGGGCAGCGTTTAGCGTTAGCATTTTCAAAGTAATCTGCACCATTAAAATTTTATCCAAAACGCTAATGCTAATCTTTAACGCTATTCCCAAACAAGTCCTTTTTTATCACCTCTTTGGATCACTTTCTTGACTAGTAGATGAGTAAATGATTGTATAGATGACATAGGCAAAAGCACATATGTTTTCTTGTAAACAAAAAAACCCCACAAAACCTTAGTTTTCCAAGTATGTAGGGCAAATTGGAAACTGGTTGAGACTGTTTTGAAAAAAAAGAAAAACTATGAATCACAAATTGCTGCTTCTTCCGTACAAGTTTCAGTTTAACCTTTCCATAATGTTTTTTCATGTATGCTCAATGGAATTGTTTAACAAATAATCACTTTTTTAATGTCATATTTCAAACCTACTTACATTTCTACTTATTGTTTATTTAAACAATTTTATAATTTTATCCCAACTAACGTTGATCCTCTCTACTATTTAGAGACCACTAATATTTTAAACCGTGCCATGCACGGGATGAAACGATTTTTTTATTTTATATTTTTTATTCGCATATCATTTTTCAAATATCAAACAAAATAAAACATCAACCCTAAAAGCTAGAATAATGATAAGACATATAACATTTGTTAATGAAATTTTTACATCATGCATTTGAAATTTAAATGTCGAAGTCTTTTTATAAACTTAAACATTTCGAAAAATTTGAGGTATAAAGTGTTTTTTGTGATCTTATAAAGATTTTCAAAGAAACTTAAATGACAATGTAGGGTAAAAAATCTCATAAATGACAATGTTTTGTCTTAACTTTATTTATAATCATATCGAAACATAAACTGTTGAAAATTATATTCTTTGAAACATTAAGGATAACCTAGTATGAAATGATGCATAATTCATTTAATTTTGGTCATTTAAATATTCTCTACAACTTTGTTTTCCAATACTACAATTGTGCTTGCCGAAGAATGTTTTTCGTAACTCGTTAATGATTAAATTGATTCTATTATACAATTCAGATGATTGAACAATATTTCCTAATAGCATAATGAGTACAACTTTCTTCAAACTAAAATTATTTTGTGATTCACACCATATTAGTTCAGATTATCAAAGAAATTGATTCACCGTCCAACATTAATATGATTTTCTTCTCTCGTATTGATTTTAAAAAATATGATTATTCTTTCGTGAATTAATTGAAAAAATAAAACTTATGATCATATGATTATTCGATCTCCTTTGAATTATTTAAAAAATTTGGATAACCAAAACCTTATTATTCAGAGAATATGATTCTTCTATAACACATCACCGCATTAATTTAGAATAGAAAATTAAATAATATTATTCATCTCTCCTACATTAGGGGGCGTTTGGTTCGGGGGTAAGGGAAACGGAAAACAGAATGGGATTCCCCGATTTCGTTTGTTGTCGTTTGTATAAAAAAAGTTCATTATGTTTCTCCATTATTTTTTGATTTTGGATTACCCCGTTTCGCGTCTTTCGATTCCCCGCTCCCTATCGGAGTTTCCCATTCTCATTCCCTACCGCGTCTTGCCGCCACACAACGACTCCATCCGCACCGCAGCTCAGGTATGCTCCTCCCCCTTCCACCTCCGTTTCCTCCCCCTCCCCTCAAATTCCTCCATTCCCGTTGAGATTCCCCCCTCCCACTCATTGCTCAATTTCCGCCTCTCCAATTCCTGCCCAACACTTCTTCACGCCACTCCCGCTGCGATTCCCCCCTCCCACTCACGAACAAAGGGAATTCGATTCTCTTTCCTGTACTGAACCAAACAGACAAGATAATTCAAGGGTAATCATTCCCTTTCCCCATGATTCCCTTTCTTCTGCCCTTTCCCTTTCTTCAGCACGAACCAAATGCCCCTTAGTATGATTCTTCTTCCTCTCATTGATTAAATAATACTTCATCCGTTTGCAAAAAAGCTTCCTAGTTTGACTTGGAGCCAAAATAAGAAAGTGTTAAATTATAATTGACTTCCAATTTTGCCTCTGATGTGATGGATAAAAGTAAAATATGATGGATAGATTATTAAAGAAAAAATATGATGTGATAGGTAAGGTATGAAAAAGTAAGAGTAAAAGTGGTTTTTAATAGAAAGTGTAGGTGTTTTGTTGGAAGTGGAAAAAATGAAAGATGAAGTATTTTTGAAAACGGAGGGAGTATGATTCTTTTCTCCCCACAAAATTAAAAAAAAATAAAAGCTTGGATTAGCATTTCTCTGATTCAAAATAATAATAATTCAAAAAAATATTAAAAATCCATTGATTTGACTCCCTCATATTAATTCAATAATAGTAATAATGTAATCCAATGATTTGTTGTAGGGATAGGTTCAAGATGATAGACCAGAAAGTGGATGCATTAAGAGAGAAGTTGTTGAACATACAAGACCTTCAGAAGCAGGATAGGGAAAAGAGCTATTACATGAGCTGAATAATGCTATTAGTGCATCTCTTTAACTGAAATGTCAACAGATTAAGCAAGAATGGCTCACAGTAGGAGATGCAAATTTTAGGCTTTTTATGCTTGGCCTAAAAAGAGACAGTTGAACAATGTCAAGGAACCAACTCAACCAAAAGCTCAAGCTGCTGGTTGTGACCATGAACAGTTATTTATATTCTAACACGCTCCCTCACGTGCAGACGTAGTCTTTTTCGAGTCTTGCACGTGAAACTTTTAATTTTTTTAAACTGGGTGGCGCTGAGTTTCGAACCCGTGACCTCTTAGTCAACAAGGCTCCGATACCATGAAAGAATTTATTCGGAGAAAATTCTCTCGTATTTCTTGTGTTTTCAATTTACAACCAAGGCATGTATATATAGGTTCTCACAAGTCGAAAATCCTAACTAAACAAGGGAAGGGAATCCCTATACAAGTAAACTACTAATACAAGGAAATTACCAAAACTAATATATACGAAAATATATTCCAAATATTCTCTTTCCTACAACTGTATAATGGCCATCCAAAGAGAAGATGGGAATGAAGTTGAAGGAACTGATCGATGATGTTGCAGATGTACTCGAAAAACACTTTAATAGTATATATGCTGGTACATACAATGGATATTGACAGAAATCTTATGACAGCAGGAAAGAGTCTGAATGTTGATCGAGCAACAACTGGAGTTGATAAGAGAATTTAACTTGAAAATGAAAATCTAACCTTTGAATGATTCTGAAGAGACCCAGGCTCCAGATCCATCAATTCTTCTCAAATCTGGAAGAAATCCATTTCTTCTTCTTCAATGAATCAAGATATAACGTCAACCGAAGGATTTCTTTATTTCTTTTCTCCACCCAAAATGACTTACATGAGAGCTATAACAAGATAAAAAATTGATTTATTTTATTTAAAAATTTGGTACGGGGTAAATAAAAAAGACAGACTAGTACTTAAAGGTTACATAAAAAATATAGTTGTCTTACCGACTCTTCTACTATGTGAGTTCTAAGTTTTGGGACATGAACCAGAAAGTAGAGTGATTTGGTAGTTTCTACCAAAAAGTTATGGATCAAACGCTATAGTAGTGTTAGTGACGAAGATGTGAGAATTGCCCTAAAAAAATATCACGTGACGCATGGCACTGATGGACAATAAATCCACCAAATGATTCGACTTATCGGCGGATCGTAACAATTATTAAGAAACAAGAAATCGAGAATTATGAAATTATATGCTAGGTTTTGCTTGAGATTTCCCGTGCACGTCCTCCTTATTTATACGTATCCTCTACATAATTTAGGTAATTTACAGTTTATGGGAACTAGTTTGAGATTCGCGCGATCCCTTTCCTTCGGCTACTTTTCCGCAACCTAGCCGCGTCTCCTTCCCAACTATGGATTTCCCACGCTACTTTAGTTTGGGTCAGTTCAGGCCCAAGCCTTTGGGCCGGCCCAGGATCAGCACCACGCACCCATGGATACCCGAACGCCTTTCGGGCGCAGGACTTAGGCCGCCCGTCAGGTATCGGCCCATCAGGCACGTTTCCACATATGGAGTGTGAGACATTCTACGCACTTGACCAAAGCGGAAGAAGGTGCAAAACAAGTGCAATGGGTGCGAATAGCCAGCAGGTGCAAGACATCGGAGGCTGCGGCAGTAAAGAAAAAGAGGACTTGGGGGGCAGCATAGGCATGTAGTTTTTATCGCAATTTTAAATATTTTATTGTGATTGAATTTAGGATGTGGTAATGATAACTGGATTGGACAATAAGACAGGGTAGTTGAACCACATTAAAAGATCAAGTTCAATCGATTAGTTAGTTCAACTAAGGAACTTATATACCAATTATTTTGTTCTTGAACTTTCGATGTGGAATGACACTCTAACATATTACATTTTTTTTAACTTTTTTGCACAAAAATTATTTAATGTAATACAAAGTATTTAATTATACTTTTACATGCATTTTATTTAATTCATGATTTAAGTTTGTAATTTTTTTGTTAGATATCAGTTTTTAAATCTAATGTATTACTCGGGTAGTTTGTTTGATGTAATTATTTAAAATTAAATAGTAAATAAAATGTTATAAAAGTTATATTAAAAACAAAATAAAAAATAAAGAATAAGGATGAAATTAATGAAGATCTACACCTCTAAATGAGAATGAAATTGAGAAAACTAATGTAGCTTTGGAAATGAGAATAGTGGGAAATAGGGAAGCATACGGCACAACCTAAGGCCATAAGGTGTGATTCTCCTCTTCCCAGTGTCACATCCGTTTTTACTTTTTTTTCTTTCCTTCTACTCCTAGGGAAATACCTTCCCCTTTTCACATTCAATTATTACTACGGAGTATTGTTTTTAAATACTTAATTTAATTAAAATAATTAAACTAAATATATAAAATACAATTAAATCATACAAACATACAAAAACTAAGCAAAAAAAATCAAAAAATCAAAATAAAAAATGAAACACAATTAGAAGCTAAAAATAAAAAAAGGAAAAGAAGCAACAAAAAAGATAAGAGAAAGAGGCAACACAAAAAAAAGGAGGAAAGAAGAAGCCAAAGAGACGAAAACAAAAAAAAAACGTAGAAAAATTGGATGGGAAAATCGGGGAGGGATCCCGCTTTTCCCGTTCCCGCACAGGAAGGGCGGTGTTTCGCTCCATCCTGGGGGGGGGGGGCCTAAGGGTGTGGCATATCGTGTGAAGGGAAAGGAGAAGAGGCAAGGAAGGGTACCATTGTGGCCATGCAAAAGAGAGAAGGAGAGGGTGTGAGGAAGGAGAGGGATGAAGGAAATAAACCAAAAAATAAAAAGTAAAGTAGAAAAACGAAGAGGGAAAAAAGAAGTCTCCTTCTCGTTCATCCTCCACCCCTCCCTCTCTCACAGAATATAAAGTTATCCATTTTTTTTCCAGCTTCAGACTTTTATTTCAACCAAGAATAATCTTCCTTTTACCTTTTTTTCTTATATTGTTTTAGATAGATCATACTCTGTACATTCCATAATAACTATCTATCAAAGATTACTAGACAAATTAGATTTTAAATGAATGTAGACTTCAGTAGGTCTACATTCATTTAAAAGCTAATGTATCAAATAAAACATAATAGACAATTATTGAGGAATAGAAAGAGTATATTGTTTCCCCGTATGTGCTCGGAGAGTGCTGGTGGACTTCCAGGTTCACGCCTCACTGGTGCACGGCTTACGTTGGTAGAAAAGAAGAGTACATTTCACCCGGATAGAGCCATAGCGAAAGGACTGCAACCTGGACCTCAGTATGGCATGTTCAAAAATGGGAAATCAGTTTTCTCAAAATTAAATAGGGAGGTTTGAAATACTTCAAGAATTACTTAGCAGTTAATTGGCAAATGAAAAAAAAAGTCCCTAATAGACCACAAAAACAAAATTTTAATATTTCAAAAACAGTCCCAATTGATCATCTCATTACAGATTACCAATGAATAATTAAATAACATATGAATATCAATAAAAAATAAAAGAATTTTTACAAAGCCATAGTTCAACTTATTTGTTGAACTCCAACATAGATTTAATTTTTAAATAAACTTTTCCAATCAATGTATTTCGTATAATTTAACCACATTACAGGGTATCAAATTCACATTTCTACCATCTGCTGCCTATATAAAAACAAAATGGAAGCACAAAAAACTCATTTACAATTGTCTCAATTTCCTCCGATTAGAGGAGAAGATGGATCGAAAGGCGTATACGAGAAAAGTATACACTTTTACCATCTATAAACAGCTCTATCACCCATGCTCATGTTCCTTTGTAATACTAACTATAAAAAACAATAATTCTGACCCATAAAGGATGGGGAATTTTCAAGGCAACCAAAATTGGGTACTGTGAAGTAGTGTTCAGTTACCTTATAGTGGGTGTTGTGTATTAGCAACCGTCATCATGCGCTAGCGACTCAAAGGAGAATGGCTTGAACTTGTAGCCGTCGCCGTGATAAAACTTGTTCTGGAATTCCACCCAATGAAGACGTAAAGCATGGAGAAAAGCACTGAGAGTTTCCATCATGAGTAGTATCCCAACTGTCCCAAAGGCAAAGAGCGACATCCCCATCAGTCGCGCGATGAGGTTATCATACCTACAATAACAATTGAACACGACAAGTTCATGCACATGGCCACACACCCACACACACACTATATATAGAGATATGGATGGGTTGAGTGCCCATTTGTTGGTGCCTTGCCCCACAACAGCCTCCGCATATACTAACTTTATCCCATAAAGAGTCACATTTCATCAACAAACACCCTTTTAATTTAGGCAAGGTACACCTATCCAACACCAAATTCTAACTACTCCCTCCGACTTCACACTTTCATTTTGGGTGGAAACTCGTCTTAGGTGACATGGACATGTGGAGAGATAACCAATAGAGCATCCCGTGAGAAGGATTACTCAAATAATGAATAGACGTGTGGCTAGAGGAAGAGGTAGACCTAAGAAGATTTGGCATGAAGTGGTCAAAGAAAACCTTCGCGTGAATCATCTCGCTGCAGATATCGTACATGATAGGGCGCAATGCCGTCATTTGATCCATGTAGCCGACCCCACCTATTGGGATAAGGCTTTGTTATATTTTCTTTCAAGGAAAGACTTGTGTGTTTGATATTGTCTATTAGTTCTAAACACACCAGTTACACAATATCATTTTCTGAACAAGTGTGCCAAGACATAGGGAGTAACGTTTTAATTTATTTTTTTTGGTTTAACTAAAGTTTACATACTTGGTCGGGACACTTTGTTTAGTAAGTACATCAAATACTATGAAAATTAACTTCACTCTTTTTGTGGGGCAAAATTAAGTTTGCAAATAGGAGTTATCTCTTTTTTTTGGGTGTGGGGTATATAATGTAAATCGATTCCCTCAAGATAGAGGTAAGGATGTTTTTGCGAATAAAAGCATGTCGGAGCTTACCCCCAAAAAAAGAGTAGAGCTTTCTCATACAACACAGTAGATAGTTCCGAGTGAGCCAAACTGCATCAACAATTCAAAAGTAGGATGTATCAATAATATATAATTCTGATTTGTTGAAAAATCATCAGTTATGATCAACAATAATACTTAAAATGCATGGTCCACAAACCTCAAAGCCCATAACCGTAGATATGAAGCTGTATTAGACACAGCACCAAGGACAAACTCAATCGAGTGTATCATTTGATGCACAAAAACCTCACTGAAATTAAACTCCTCTTTATGTTCCCTGGCAGAATCAGGTTCCTCTTCATTATCCATCTCAGAGGTTCCAAGGATCCGGTATGTACGACCTTGAAATCTCTAATAATTGTATAGCACAAGCTCATCACATTTATAAATCATTAACTGTCATACTGTACAAGGGTACTGGGAACCAATAGAAATATTCTCTAAGGACAAAAACACATTTACTTGACAAGGAACCAATAGCAATATTCTCTAAAGACGCAAAACACATTTACTTGACAAGGATATTATATTAGGATTTGCATCATCAATCAAACCAAGACATGGAGCTTGAAATCTCACCCCCAAAGTTAAATGACTTGTTTTTGTTTTATTTCATTTGTGCTTCCTTTTACCACGTACTTGTGAAAGCTGAGGAAAGATGCAATACCTCCATGTGGAGTCTCTTCAAAATAAATGGCTTCGGAAAGAGCATCCAGGGAACAGCAACAACGGCTAAAAGCAACAATATGACCTGCAGCGATATATTCTTAATCAAATACAGAAGTAAAATATTCCAAGGTAAGGAAGACATGAATGGCCTTGACCTGAAGCACATTCTGCCCCCTAAACAATTTATTTTCGCCAAGATCACCAAAGGGACTAAGGAACATGTATATCATAACATGGTAGAGATCTGCTTGCGAACCAGTGCACCATTTGACAATAATGAGAAGTGAAAGATATCCAAAAAGACTGTTCAGGAAAATCATCTGTGGAACAAATTGATGCCTGTTAAACATTTCACACGATAAATGTCACCTCTTGATAAGAGGAATCAATTAAAAAGGATAAAGGTGATGGAGGAGGAAAGTAGAAAATAAACACGTACTTCACATCAAGCGATTTGCTGAAGAAGCGGGCATTGAAGTAACTTAAAATAATGCCCAGGTTCATTTGTGCCACACCAAATAAAATAGACATCTTCATCTTAAGAGAGTTCAAGAAAGGCAGTTCTGAACGGCTACCTCGCCAACTTGGGTCCACGCCAAATGGATAAGGGTCTCTATATTTCATTAAACCAACAGTGCGTGCATCGCTGTCAAGGCAAATGTACATTGTAAATAACCACATGCCCTAAATAGAGGAGAAATCAGGGTCCAATTAGTAATTCTGCAAAAATGCTTGTGTTCCAAAAAGCTAAGAAGTAAACATGGAAAAGAGTTAAGTATTTTAAAAAACATGACTTTGTTAAATTGGAAAATGAAGGCATTATTGGAGAGAAATGGTCAAAGGAAAAATTTTCAAGACATGCCAATAGACAATACTTATAATATTCAGCATCATTATGAGTGGCTGCAAGGGGGTGAAAGATGTGCCTAAATGGAAAGACTTTGTATGGAACAAACTTACCCCACCAAGGTTCCAAGTTATTTTTTGGATGATAATGAAAGAGAAGCTACAAACTAACTTACCCTCAAGTAAATTTCTAAATATTGATACTGCATATAGTTTGTGTGGGCAGGAACCAGATTAAGATCCAGGAAAGGGACTTTTCAGAAGTGGGAGATGAGATTATACAGAGTAAAAATAGGAGAACCAGATTCATTATATTGACAGTTTGGGCAGCTTGTAGCTATGGGATTTCGAGAGCTGGAAATGGGCATATACATCAAAAGAAGTTCAAAGAAGAGGAGACTATCAATTATATTTTGTTTCATAGTAAATGTTTTATAGAGTATAAAGTAGAAGGATCTGATCTCTGCCTTTGTATCTAACTTTATTGAGGGTGAATATGAAGTGTGCATTTCTGTTTAAAAAAAGGCACTATTCACCAACCTTTCTCCAGATGTTCCTAAATGCTCGAGTTTTTTTTCAAATTGGAAAATGAATAGGACTAAATGATGGTTAAAAAATGTACATGGAAAATGGAAATTGGAGAGGGAAGTGAGGATGGTCTTCCCTTTCTGAATTTGGAGAATCGATGACACAAACAAGTTGAAGTTTACATTAGCAGATGAATTATAGCATACCTGCATGTAGCATCTCGGCATTTGTATGCTGACTTCCCAAATATGTGGAAGGGGACAGAGAAAAACTCATTGTATATCAATCCACAGTAAATTGAAAATATTGACATTAAGAGCAGCACATAGCGACCACTAAATAGCATTTCCATAAAGCTTCCTAGTTTCTGCCAACAAAGGCAACTAATTAGGATATCATAATTCATACACACATGTGTAAACATACAAATATATGTAATACTCCCTCAGTCCTGCAATTAAGTTTACCCTTTGAATTCATTGAAATTAAGATAAGGGTTGAAAAATTAAAAAATTTGTAGCTGGAACATATTTAGAAGAGAGAAATGTTATGATCTACATATTTAAAGAAACAAGAGAATCATAAAGTTTATTTTGGGACAAAAAAGTGTAAACTTCATTTTGAGACAGAGGGAAAGAGTATATTCCAAATTTACAAATTCAGTAGAGCAAATGCTGCAAATGATACCAGTAGCTAAAGTGCTAAACATACTTAAGAAGACATACCTGAGAACCAAGTTTATTTTCTTGAGCTATAAGAAATAATGCTGCTGATAGCAAACAAATTCCATGGCCCCAGTCCCCAAACATCATACCAAACAAGAAAGGGAATGTAATGATTGTATAAACAGAAGGGTTCACCTCCTGGTATTTCGCAACTCTGCAAGAATAAGTAATAAAATAAGAAAATACTACCTCCGTGGTTCTATGTCCGTGTACTCGCCCAATTTGACTTTTTCCGCTCAAACTAGAGAATTTTGATCATCAATTAAATAAAAGCCACATTGCATGTTAACAAAAAATAATTATATTAGATTTATCAAGCAAAAGGTAAAAAAATCACGTCATTGTATTAATATGCAATGTAATTTTTATTTAATTGATTATCAAAGTTTGTTCATTTTGACTGAAAAAGTCAAGCTTCACAAAAACACTAGGATGGAGGGAATATACTTTTGTCGATGTGAAATGTATAAAAAAACATATACAATTTTGTGTACAGCAAGACCAGTAGAATACCACAAATAGCAGAATCAGGGGTGAGTGTGTGCATACCTTACCCGTACTTGAAATTAGAGAAGCACAATTGTGTGTGAAGGTCTATTTTAACTTTTAAGTTTTACCCAAAAACTTTAGAAGTGTCTAACACAAACACGTTATATCACAAGGTTCATTTGTTACATTGAGAGATGATTCACACAAAATGACATTCATTTTCTTGGAGGAAGCTTTAAGGGCTTAACCCCAGGAATCCATGACCACAAGTGGTAACCGGTGCCCAAACTTTTAATAAGGACCAAAGAGGACAGATGTTAGAGACAACATGAATCTTTTTTTAATAGAAATGTAAAATAGGAAGTAAAAAAAATGTTGTGTCTAAGAATGGTGTACTTGGCACCCAATTTTTTTGTGAATAAGGTGTATTTTTTTGTGTATTTGACCACAAATAAATAAAATTTAGGCCAAGAAAATTAACCCTGGAATACACATCCACTGTACAAATTAAAAGAAATGTGATGCAGTGCTATGTTTGTTAACTTACCCATATGCATCAACGATTTCTTGGAATGCATTTGTATAACGGTTAGTTCTGAAGAAAGTTGGGAATGACTCATTAGCATCCATTGCATGAAATATTATGTCTGCTTGTGATTTGCTATCAAGTGTAGAGTGCTGCAAAGTCTCTTGAATCTATATTTCCACAAGGATTTCCCTCGTGAGCTACGAAAAATAAAACTGCTTGCCTTACCGACAAACAATAGCAGTTCAGAAAATTACCTTGGTCTTTGCAAATATTGGACACCAGCCCTCGCCAACAAGACATTTCTTGGTAACATCAAAACTCAGCATATTTAAAGTGTCGTAGACAGCTTTTTCCCTTCGAACCTAGAAAATATATATAAATAAAACTTTGACTCATTTTCTGCACTAACATAAGATTGATGGTATCGCATTTACACAGGCAAGCAAATAAAATACTGCCTCTAATCTGAAAATCATCCTGCATACCCTGTTCACCCACTTTGTCAACTGAAATCCGATAGTGGTCAAAGCCATATCTCTATGGCGTAATCCAGCATCCAAGGTGGTTTCAAGTTCAGTTAATCGTGACAAAACCTGCAATTTAAGAAGTTAAATTTTCTCCCTTTGTCCACAAATGAAGTAACCTCGAGACGAAACTCCATGCACATCAAATCACATTATATATACATTTGGGTTAGTGCTCATAACTGCAGGAGGCATGTTCATCTAAGAACAAAATATCTTAGAGCATAGAGGACTTCAACTACAGTGCTAGCCTTGAAAGAGAGCAAAACAAATCTTATTGTGAGTGTGTATCATTTAATAGGTCTGAATCTTTCTTTATTAATTTTCTTCTGATTATAAATTTATTTTTTATTCATTTAATATAGAGACACTTTATGTGGTTGATGGACATATACAGTATATTCAAATTTATTAGCTCATTTACAAATTAAAAAATTGTAATTATTTAAGTCGACCCTTGTAAATGAAAAGAGAGAACACACACTCACATTTTACTAAGTATTTGCCTTTAGAACCTATTGCCTAGTATGAGAAGGGGGGACAACATTTTGACTGTAATATAATAAGAGGGTTGAGAAAGCCTAGAACATAGCATATATTCTAGCAAACAATTGAAAAAAAAAGATGGGTCTTAGAACTGCTAAGTGCATAAATGATCTCCTTCGTAAACATACTTCTTGAGTTATTTGTCTCCGCATTATGGCATCTTCAGGGATAGGATAGCAACTAGCACCAAATGTGTCACATATTTTAAATATTTTGGTCCTTGCTTGCTCACCCGAAAAGAACACTACAAATACTATTTTTTCAACCTGAAAAGACAAATCTATGAACTAATTAGATCGAACTTAAAAGTTATTTGTTGTTCAGAATTGATTAAAAGCAGTTGTTTGAACGAGATATGCAAAAATATACTGTTGATGCAAGATTTACATAATATATAAATTCCTTTTGAAGAATTAAATTTAAAGCAAAGATCTTATCACTGTATTTGAAAGCAATATGTCCTCAAAAAACTAAAGGTGCACAGATTTAATTGTGAAAAGAAACTGAGGACAAGAATATAACCATTTCATTTGAAGTAAGGTCCATGATTTTATCCTCAGCAACTGCCTGATTAAAAAGCATGTTTCCCCTTGTTGCACGAAATAGCATCCTTTCGAATCTAAGAGCTTTGGACTTGCAGATAATACCACTAATAAAGCTTATTCCAGACTGGCTTGACAGTTCCGGTTGCAGTTCCTGGAGATATGAAAGGTTCACAATTTGGTTCTCCAAGTAATTAGAATCACTAGAATCTTCATCATGCACATAACATTTTAATTGCAGGAAGAGATAAATCACCTGCTCAAGTAGTGATGCCGCATCAGCATAATCACTATTGGCATGGATATGTTCATCTAATTCGATTTCCTCATCTGACACATGACTTTGAGTAAGAAACTCTCCAGCCTGGAATGTTCCAAAATGATGCTTAAGTACATCAATTGAAGTACAAAAGAGCATGTAGCCACTTACATGGTCCTACAACTGCAATTCAAGGTAGCCTACAATATTCATTTAAATTACTAGGTACAAACATGGGATGAATCGATCAAAAGTAGCTGAAGCGCAGACCCAGTTCAGGAGGCAACTAAATATAAGGAGGATCATAGGGTTAGCAATCATGAGGTGTTTGATTTTTCAATCTGAATGGTTTATGGAGGTAGGTGCAAAATAATTATTTCATTCTGTGCAAAAGTGCTAGGTTTATTAGAGCCAGTGCCAATATTGGAGTTAATATCAGGTTAACTGTAAACTGTAGTACCAAGAGTTTACAGGATTCACATACTCCTGCAGTATCAACTCCTTCTGCAATATCAACTCAAATTCTAGCTGGAGTATGTTTGAACTTTGAAGTCAGAATAAAATGTTGTACCTTCTGCAGTATCAAGTTAAATTCTAACAGCTCAGTATATGATTGCCGCAATTTCTCGCTGTTGGCGTTCATTTCAGTCAGCTCATGCTCATGCTCTGCAAGTTGAACCTAAATCCAAAGACATCAACAGCATATTTAGCTTTTGTGAGGTCAGGAAAAAAAGGGTGTTCACTTGTCAAAAGCTATAAAGCGCTGCCAAAAAAACCTCCAATTCTTCTAATTCTATATCTGGTAGAGAAGCAGGATTGGGTGAAGGAAATAGACCAGCTTTATGTATCTGGTCTTTAAAAAAATGTAGCTTTCGTGACATTTCTGCACATCTTTTTACCTGTGAAAATTCAAAGTACTAGCTGTGTAAGAAGTATAACCACCGTAAAGACAATCCCCAAGTGCAAAGTAGAAAAATATTATCCTCACAGGCATTGTATGCAAACATTATAACCACGAATAATGTCCATGTATGTGAGCTTTCCACATTACTAATAATTGTATGAAAATGTACAACTATTTTGAAATCATTGACATACTCCCTCCGTCCACAAAAAAAATTTACGTTGCGCGTTACGATGTTTGACGGAAGTTATTTTCAAATCATTTTATATGAAAAATGGTGTAGAATTGAAAAATAAAAATTGCATATTAAAAAACGATATCAAAATATCTACAAAACTAGTGGTGACATGACTATATTATTTTATCAAATGGGTGACGAAAATAGGCCAACAAAGTGAATAAAGTTTGACCCTGTGAATAGTGAACGTAAAGTTTATTTGTGGACGGAGGGAGTAAAGATCTTTTTCTGGGGGGGGGGGGTCGGGGGTAAATCTAGCCAAAATGGATAGGTGCAAAAATGTACCATTAGTTTGCTCTGTTGAAAGTTAGCCACCTATCCCTAAATATTGAAGAAATTTCTCTTTCCATTTCTTACATATACAGGAAAAGAAATTCACATGTCCAAAAACGATTTTCTGTATTTGTTAGTTTACAAATTGCAATAAATGTGAATGGCAGTAGATATGTCCTACTCCATTTCACAATACTGGTCATACTTCTGTTGGCACATACTTTGCTTTAAGAAAAGGTATAAGGGTGGGGTGAGAGAAAAAAGTGGATGGAAGAAAGAATTTTTTTTGGGGGGTCGGGGGTGTGTTTACTAGATGTTTTTTTTCCCAGAAAAAGGAGTGTGGACAAGTAAGTAATACGGAGTATGAAATAACCAAAAAAGGCAGGAACTCTATTGTAAAACGGACGGAGTATTTGAAATTTGTTATATGTTCTGAATAGTGAAATATTCTTCATAGATACCTGATTAACAAAAGTTTGCTGGAAAGGACTTTTGTCTGCATTTAACTGTCAATATAAAAGAGATACAGGGTGAGTGCATTTTCTCGTATATAAATTGAGAAAAATGGTGAAATAGCATTCTTGTTAATGACTGAACGTGGACTCCTTGTTCACGTAGCCGACCACACGTTACTTGGGATAGGCTTAGTGTCGTTGTTGTATAAATTGAGAAAAATGCCCAAAAAGATAAAGCATCAAACCAAACATTCAGCATTTCAACTACAGGTAGTATGATTATATGTGAAGGCCTTGAACCATGGAGTTTACACAGTTATTCTTAAAGCTTGCCTCCGCTAAGGAGAAGGGTAGATTCATAGTTTTTTATAAGCCACTGGTCCATCAATTTTTTTGTAGGAGGCAGGCCTAGAGACAACTGTCCCAAATTTTAAGTACAATGGTTGCCCATAGTTCAAAATTCAAATTGTTTAATTGGAAACAGTCAGGTGAAGCAACACAGTTGAACTTTATGCTTGCATATTCTCACTAATCAGGAAAAAAATGTATCAATGATGAATATTTCATTATTTCCACACATATCATCGCATACTCTTGCAACTTGTGTAGCAGCTACCAGTGACCTGTGCGGCTGTGCTGTAGCACACACACACACACACACACACGCTGTAGCACACACACACACACACACACACATAAGAGAGCCAAGATTTTCATTGTTCTGCCCTAAAGTCTCGAATGCTCATATCTTCAACAGAATTAATAGGGTTGTGAGAAGTTGTGGATAAGTCAAACAGCACATTGATTTTAACGAGCTAAACCATTGGGAAGCACTAGTACTCTAGCAGACACCCTGAGTGCACATCCATAGTCCCACAACAAATCCCAAACATACAAAACCTAAAACCCATTTGCACATGCATACTCACTCAAGACACAATGCACCATAGCATCCTTGTGCAAAACAATAAGAGTTTATTCTCAAATCTGATGAGAGAACAGCAAATTCGTTGTAGTGTACTTTTTCAACGTCAACATTTGAGTAAGGTTTGAACTAGCTGGGATACTTGATATGTTACATTATGCTTGCTATATGAGTTTTTTTTAAGAACACATGCAAAGACCGAAACTATTTCACACAAGCAATGTAGCAACGAACACAAACTTGGTAGATGCTTCCTCCATCCCAATCCATTTATCCACTTTCTTTTTGGCGCATGGACTAAGAAGTTGACCAAAATACCTATATTTTATGATGGACATTTATTAAGTGGTATTGAGATGGGACATAAGAGTCAATGTGGGATTTATTACTTTGCATGGACAAATACATTGTGACGGGAAAAAAAAGGAAAAGTGTACAAACACATCCAAAGGGAGGAAGTATATGTTAGCTGACATGGGTTTCTTCTCCTTTTTTGTGCCTGGAGATCCACTTTAAAGATTCAAATTGATTATATCCAAGGTTCTACTCTAGTATTGATATTTAAAGGTGTGGCGTGAATAATTCTGAATCCCTGGGTGATATGAAATCAAAAGGAGTGTCTTGTTTCAGAGTACATTACTCACACTGGGTCTAGAAGAGAAGCTATGTAAGAATGCAAAATCTCTTATTAAATCCCTAATCCCCATAGCTCTGTCCCCTCAAACACCTAACTGATGCCACAAAACATTCAGCACTATATCCTGAGAAAAAATTGAATTGCTCCATAACATTGCACAAAAAGCAATCTAACATGGAGAAAGTCTGCCCAATTAACCAAAAAATGAAACAGATTAATCAAATGTGGATGAAACAGAAATCGTTAAGCAACAGAAAATTAGGCATGAATATATATGTATGTACAAGTGTACTCAGATGACAGGCATATACAGATATAGAATGCACAAGGAGAGGCAGAGTACATCGCGAAATTGGAGAAGGCCGAGCTGGCCGAGGTAAGTGATGGCGCGGTGAGCTGACTCGACCGGGATGATGAGCTGCACCATGGTCATCTTCTCCGAGCGCATCAGATCCATGGACGGAAAGTTGCCTATGAACTTCATTTTTAAACCAACCAAACAACGCTCTTATCTTTCCCTAACCTGAATTGATGATCACACCAGAACCATGCACTTCATCCCCTCCCTCACGATTATTCTCTCTCCATTTCTCCTGTATCGCAGATTCTCATTTCTCAGTATATACTTGTGAGGAATATCGTTTTGGGAGTGGTAGAGCCTTGGATCGGGGGAAAAAATGGCAGCCAGGCAATCTCCGACGGCCGTGTGCGGAGAACGTCTACCCGTAGGGTTAGTCATTTTCACTTTCTTGATTTAAAAAAGTTTCATTTTCATTCGTCAATTTATTTATACTATACTCATGCATATTTGGTAACTTCAATTTAGATTTCCAATCTAAATTTAGTGGGCTGTATTCAATTTCGATTTTGTCGGATTTTTTTGGATTTTAAACGTCATTGAGTATTCAATCTAGATTTTCTAATTTAAAATTAACTAAATTACAAATTTGCACCTTTCTAGATGTCATTTATAAATTCAAGCACAATTTTCTTTAGTGTATAACTTAGGTCATGTTCCGTTCAATTTATTTTTTCTATTTTTTTCTTATTCTTATTAAAATAAGATCAGATCAGATCCAATCAAGAATTATTATTATTATTATTATTATTATTATTCTTAAAAATGAAAAGGAATAAACTTTAGAAACAAGTTAAATAGAAAAATGAAAAAGAATCCTTAATTATTAGACGTCAAAAAAAATATTTTTAAAATACATTGACAATGTCAATCTAATTTTACTTTTAAAATACATTTTTATTGATGTTACATGTAATTTGAGTTTCTAAAATTTTGATCTTTTACTACATCGAGTTGATCAACTTTGATCATGACTTAAATAAAATTAACATTTGATATTCTTGGAGAACATTTAAGTCATATATGCAGTATATTTTAGTGTAACTAAAATAACTATTATATCTATGGTGTTATATTAATCATGAAAAAGTTTCATAATACAAAGCACTCGCTAATATTTTTTAAGGATAAGATATTTTAATAAAAATATTATCTCTTCTCTATATTGATTATCTAAATTTAAATACTTTTTAATGTATATATGAATTAAATATGTATTCTAGTGTATATATGAACTAATTATTAAAATATTAAATCAATATTCTTATTTCATAAAAAAATAATCATAAGATAAAAAATAATATTACATTATAATATGAATGATTATTCTAATATATGAATTAACTAATTTTATTTTATTCAAAAATAATCATAAAGTAAAAAATATTGATTATATTATAATATGAATTATCATTACAATTTTCAAAACTTATTATTAAGTCAAATTATTGATTTGGATTTTAAATCTAGTTTTTCTGGAATTCGGGCACACAATGGTGGTATTGTTAGTTGATGTCTGAATCCGAGCTCGAGGAATGAATATTATCAGCGGCAATACTAACCTTCCTCTGAGGATGAGTAGGCCACACACTTCTCTACTATGATGGAAGTTATATGAGGATGTAGATGTCACAAACAACAACGATGCTCGAAAGGAGTGCCTTGGCCGAAAATACCATCCGAAAAATGCTCAAGAAGAGCTTTTATTTGGAGATAAAGTTATTATCTCCGTCCTAAAATGTTCTTTTCATTCAGTATACGAAGTTTAACTGACTTCATTTTCAATCTAATTTATTCGATTGTAAGTATAAACTGAAAGAATAAAATTTATATATTTAAAACTAAATCAAAAGTTCTACAAAACAAGACTATATTATTTTATCAAACAACTAACAAAAATAGACAAAGAAAGTGATTAAAGTTTGATCGTGTGAATAGTAACTGAGAAGAGACAAACGAAGTATATTTTACTCTTATTGAGTGAGATGTTCTCTTTGTATGATTAGAATAGATCTAATCCGATCCAATCCGATTTGATCTCATATAATTCAAGTTATATTTATTATATTTAAATTTATTTTTAATGTGATCTAATGTATTCTGACATGATTCCAATAACAAAAAGAGAATAACAAGAATAAATTGAAAAGAGCATGATCTTTATTTTCAAAAGAAGTGAACATGTGATTTTAAAAAGGTTATGTTAGACAAAAAAAGTCTCAAAGATGGATCATAGTGTCCAACACATTTCACACACATCCTCAAAAAGCTTCATGAAAAAGCTTAGAGGGTAATTCTCAATATTTACAGGCTATTCAAAATGTGTTCTCTTGCTAGTACTTCCCAACAAAGAACCAAGTCTGCTCCCAATACAAAACATTGAGCTCAGCCCAACTCTATGGGAACCAACGCATACATACATACAAAACCTATACATACACATATGTGTGTGTGTTAAGACTCAATACCCTCTTGATCCTCTAGACTGATAAAGTTCCAAACTCTTTCTCCCTTCAGACACAAGTGCTACAACTCTAGGGTCCTGCATCAAGTGTGCCTGCTTCGTCGACCACTCGAAAACTATGAACGCGTCTTCTTGGGCCAACTCCTCGCTGTCTGGAACGCTCATCGCGATATAAGACAACAAAGTTATGGCAGGGATTTGGACCATCTGTTCGCCGAAGTAAATGAGGGGGACTAAGTGCTTGGCTCCCCCTTGTTGGATGATGGCTTTGCAGTGGTTGACATGGAGGAAGTTTTCTGTCGACGCGAACTTGTTGAGCGCGATCGTTGCTTCTCTGATGATCTCTGGCTCGCGTTCGTCGAGCAGAGACACTAGAGGAGCAATGGTCCGGGTCTCAGATGCTCGAAATGTCCTGGCTAGGTTCCCAATGGAAGCTATGCTGGGAATCAAGAGGTCGGAATCATCGGCTTTGGTTATGATTCTCAGTAACTGGTCCACCACCGCCTTCGCGGCGGGTGCGGTGGGCTTGAAAGCGGAGCGGCGCAAGTCCGAATTCTGCTCTGCCACCGCCGTGATTTCCAGCAAAGCCATTGCGGAGTGATACCGAACGTCCTCCATCCCCTTTTCTAACAAAACCGCGAAACAGAGGAGTGCCTTTGACTCTGTTATGCTTCTGCAAATGCTAACGTTTCCAGCGCAGAGATGCCTGAGTGATCTGGCAGACATGGCCTTCATCTCGGCTTTCGTCTCGGGAGACTCATATTCCCTCCCCTTAATGCTGTTCCCGGGGAACGCCACTTGCTGCTGCGGCTGAGGATGCTTCGGCCTTTGGTTTACTCCCTTGTGGTTTTTGGCTTTGGCAGCCATTGTGTCTGTCACCACATTATGCATTTCTGTGCTTCTCTCGTGTGCCATTGGGTGAGTGACTTGGCCATGGTGGGAGTTCTTCTTCTTGTCCCCGTACGAATTATCGGTTGAAGCGGAAGATGAGGAGCCGGAATTGGCCATCACGACGGTGTGGATGGACATCCCCTGCTGCTTGCTGGCGATCAAATACTTGCTGTGTTCTTGGATTGTCTCGAAAGCAAGATGGCTAACCAAGAGAGGGATTGTGTTGGTTTGGGCGAAATGGTCTTGGGATTTGGGATGAATCGCGGCGAATTCTGAGATTGCCCAAGCCACCACAACCTGAACCTTCATGTGTCCTCCTTTGAGAATTTTCGCAAACACCTGGCAGACACCGGCGTGGCAAATGTGTTCGACGCTCTCCGGATCGCGGCCCAGGAGTCCGATGGCTCGGCACGCGTTTTCCTGGCCCTCTAACCGTCCTTCCTTGGCCAGTTTCAGGAGCGGCGGGACGCCGCCTTCCTCGATGATCAGCTTCCCGTACCGGTCGTTGTCGCGCGCGAGGGAGACGAGCGACGCCGCCGCGTCGGAGCGTTCCTCCAAGGATCCGGAGCAGAGGATCGCGACCTGTTCCCAGATGAGGCAGAGGATCGGCTCGTTGGCGGCGATCGGGGGGAGGCCGAGGTACTCGTCGTCGCGGTCGTCGGCCGGGGTGGAGACGCGGAGGAGCCAGGAGACGTCGCCGATGGAATTCTCGAGCTGCTGGGAGGTTTTGCGGAAGGCGGCGGCGGGGATGATGGTGAACACCTTACTCAAACCGCTGGCGCGGCACTTGAAGATGAGAGTGAGCGCCTTGTCGAGGACCTGCTCGGTGTCGTCGATGATGCGGCGCGTGGGGCGCTCGTACAGATCGCTGCTGGCACGCGCCGCCTGGCGGAGAAGGCCGAGGAGCTTCTCCGTCTTGGCCTTAATCTCGAGGCACTCGCCCCGGAAGGAGCAGACGCCGTCGGCATTCTTCACCACCTGGTCCGCCAACTGGATGGGCCTCGCGAGGATGTGCTTGACGATGTCCGCCATCAAAGTAGCGGCGGACTCTTGGAGAAATCGCGAGAGACGCCGCCAATGTCGCGGCGGAATGAGGACGGAGATGGGGAGAAGGAGGGAGGGTTGTTAAGGGAGTGGATTGGTGGGATGAGGATGTGCGAGAAGACATATTCATTGAATGGGAGGAATTGCTCTGCTCTCATTCAATTCGATTGGAGTTTTGAGTTGCTTACCACAACCTCATGTTCTTCCCCTTTCTTCGCCCCTTCAAATCATTTTTTGTTTTTCTTTTTGCTCTAACAGAAAGAAAAAAAAAATGCTTCAGAACGATGTAGAGCGTGCATGGCTCTCGCGCAGATTGGACCGCACCAGAGAGTGCCTGGTTCTAACATAATTCCTCCAACCATTTTTTACATTTCATTTATATTTAAATAAAATATATGTTTCATTAATTAGATATAATAATTTTTTAAAAAATATTATTATAATAAATTATTTTTTTATCAATATCTAGTATCATTTTTATATAATTTACGGTCAAAGTTTACTAATTTTGACCCAAACAAATAAAAAATGAACAAATACTCCATGACAGAAGAAGTAATATTAATCAAATATTATATTTTCAATCCTTATTGATTGAATGTCATTTCACGTTTAGTCATTATTTAACAGCATGGAGTTGGAACAATAGGCGGATGACCAAATGTAAAATGATACCCAATCATTAATGATTGTTAACATAATATTTAATAAATATGGACTAAAAATCTATTTACAAGATTTACTCAATTTGAAAAATTATTCATTTCTTGTGACATTGAGACCAATGTCAATATGTCATATTATTATGGTGCTTTATTGATAAAAGTGACTGTTTTACCACCCTTACGCCATCCCAATTTTCAGTTTTTAGTTTTTACTTTTGATTTTGATTTTTTATTTTTTTGTGTAATTCAAATTTTATCTGTTTTTAATATATAATTTTTATTTTGGAATTTTATATTTTAAGTTGTAATTTTGTAGTTTTTAATATAAAATTCAAGTTTAC